TCTCTGTTGATGCTGGGGATAAAGCAGTAAAATATGGAGCCCCCAAACTTAAGTGGCAACCTGTGCTGTGTCTGCAGGATCAGGGAGAAGGACAGAACCAGAGGATGTGGGATCAGAGTCTGAGAAGCTTACAAATTCTTGCTGTTATTTTGCTGAGTAAATACGCTTGATATGACTCATATGGCAGTATGTCTGTGTGCTTGCATCAAGAGCTTCACACTGCCCGTCTCTTCCCCCTCCTTCCCGCTCAGTCATAAATGGGGGCAAAACACCTCCGGAACACACAGGTTTGGGAGGAGCTGGTGTGGGGAGCAGGAAGGAAGCCAAGGTTGGATGGGGCAGGAAGAGATGATAGCCATTGTAAGCACACGTGCAGTGAGGAGGATTTCTGCACATGGGAGAAGCCCAAGTGTGCAGAGGGCAGCCAAGTGTGGAATGGGACGAGAGGGGGCACTGGCTTGGCAGGGGGTGTTGAACCTGTACATGGGTTAGTAGGGAACCTGCATAGAGAAGAGTCCTGGTAGCTGACCCCGTCTTACCATGTATGTGTACTCATGTGTTGTTAGTGCACACACATGCACATAGCCAGTTCTGTCTCTGGGAGGCCTGGAAGCAGGGTGGAGAGCTTGACTGTTAAATACCATTTTCCACAAAAGGAACCAGAGCTCCTGGAAAAAAGGCTGCTTGTCTGAGGCAGGAAAAGTATAAGATGAACTTGGAACATCTTGTTGAACCAGAAAGCAAAAATGTGCTTCAGGAATGATGGGGGATGTAATGAAGATCCACAAGCCAGCTTGAAGAGACTCCCACTAGCCAAATCCGAGACATTTTGACATCAAAATAAATAATGATAATGATGGATTGTAATTCATTGAATAAAATAGGAATCCACAAGCTTATACTGATAGAAATGAATTACTTGAAATTTGATGAGGAATAATATTTCTGTAGTCTCAAAATACCTCCCTAGAAAGTACTTAATTACAAAGGGAGAAAGAATAGCTTTTTGGTGGGGAAGCCTGACAGATTGACCACCTTGATGGTGTGGTCAGGGTAATAATGGACATCAGCAGTAATGGGACAAATCAAAATGATGTGCCCTCTGTTCAAGGGTATGAAGAACAGCGTTACTTCTATGATTATTCCTGCCAAAAGGACATTATCCAAAACTTACCATGGGGTATCCTCAGACAAAACCAAATTACAATAACTGTAGCCTTCAGAAGTGTCAAGGACATGAAATAAAGGAAGGCTGAAAAACAGTTATGGATTGAAGGAGATTGAAGACAATTAACTGTGATGAGTGATTCTGAACTGGCCATTTTATTGTAAAGGACATTATCGAGGCAAGGGGAGAAGTGGGAATGTCAGGGATTAGATGGTTGTAACGTATCAATGTTAACTTCTTGACTGGGGGGATCATCAAAGGAGATATTTAAAATATTTTCATTGATTTGGGAGAGGGAGAGAGAGACAGAGAGAAACATCAATTTGTTGTTCCATTTATTTATACATTCATTGGTTGCTTCTTGTATGTGCTCTGACCTAGGATCCAACCTACAACCTTGGCATATTGGGATGACTGTCTAACCAAATGAGCTACCCGGCCAGGGCATGAAATATTATTTAATAGGAAAACCCAGTGCTGGGAGCCAGGATATCTGGATTCTCATGAAAAAAAAATTAAAATTTAGGTATAAATGAATATAATGAGGAATTTAGGATCTACTCTTTTACAGCTTCTAAATACACAATACAGTATTATTAACTATAGTCACCTTTAGGGAGCAGCTATAGGGTTAAGCCTCAGACTGGCCTGTGGCAGGGCCACAAACAAGTCCCAGCTTGGAGGGCAGAGCCCACCTAGCACAATTAAGCTTGACCTTATAGTCCTCCCTTGTTCCTAGGTAGCTAATGGTCTGTGGAAGGTGCAGCAAGTGATGCCAAAATAAGGCTTGAGTAACGAAATAGATTTGAAACATGCAAGAACATTGTAAACATGTTGACCACTCCCCTTGTTTTGCTTTGTGTGCTCTGACTATAAAATAAAGCTTCGGGCTTACAGGCTGGGTCACTGTGTCCTCATCCAGGCACAAGTGAACCTACCTAGCCCCAACTGTATTCTCTTGTCTGTCTTCTTTAATCCTTCACCGCCCCTCCTCAGGTTCACCCCTGGCCGCGCTGGATGCGGTTCAGTCACCATTCTGTATTACAACTTCATGACTTAGTTTACAACTGAAAGTTTGTACCTTTTTAGCCTGTCCCCCATTTCTCCCTCCCTCAACCCCTTTGGCAACCACCAATCTGTTTCCTGTATCTTTTGTTGTTTGTTTTTAATTCCACATACAAGTGAGATCATACTGTATCTGTCTTTCTCTGTCTGACTTATTTCACTTATCATAGTGCCCTCAAGGTCCATCCATGTCACATTGTGCAAGATTTCATTATTTTGTGGCTGAATAATATTCCATTGTATGTATGTCCATCTTTATTCATTTTTCCAGTGATAGACGCTTAGGTTGTTTCCATATCTTGGCTATTGAAAATAATGCTGCAATGAACATAGGGACACATATATTTTTAAAATTAATGTTTCTTTGTGTGTTTTTTAATCCAGAAGTGGGATGATAATGTGTTATTGCAAATTTTGCAAACCAGAGTATATTTAGGAGCTGTGTAAGAATTCAGAAAAGCTTTTTCAAAAGGACTTCAAAAGAAGGTTATAGACCTAAGACACATCAATCTCCCACCAAATATGTCTATAATTTGGTAATTTAAAATGACACTACTGTTTGGACCCATTTTCTCATCTGTATAATGAGGATAATACTTGCTTCATGGAGAACACGTGAAGGTTAAGTGAAAAAATATGACCCATGACAGCCCTGGCCAGTGTGGCTCCTTTGGTTGGAGCATTCTCCCCTGCACCAAAGGGTCATGAGTTTGATTCCTGGTCAGGGCACATGCCCGGGTTGCGGGTTCAATCCCTGGTCAAACCTGGTCAAGTTGAATGTGGTCAGGAAGTGTACAGGAGGCAACTGATAGGAAGTGTACAGGAGGCAACTGATAGATGTTTCTCACATCAATCTCTCTCTCTCTCTCTCTTCCTCTCTCTTTCTTTCTCTCTCATCAATAAAAACATATCCTCGGGTGAGGCTTAAAAAATATGTATATATATGACCCATGACAGGCACATCGTAAGTATTCCAGGCATCCCACCAGAGCTATAAGTTTATCTGTTTTGTTGTTAACACTGATATTCTCTGTTATTTAGAACACAACTGAAGAACACAAAGAAAATGTTTTTATTCTTTGATATATAAAACCAAGAAAACTTTAACACAGAATACAATATCGTTTGCTTTTTAAAGAAAATGGCAGAAGTATAGACCTGGGTAGAAAAATACACGCAAGCAGCTATTCCAAGCAGTTCATAACTCCTAAAATTCTGAATAGCGCACAATCTTTTTTTAAAAAAAAATTATTCACATTTGCTTAACAACTTAAAATATGGTAAGAAATATAACTTTATTTCTTGGTAACAGACCCAGTTATTCAACAAGATACTCTTGAACCAGCAATAACTTAGTAAAATAACATTTCCTTTGTGGTAGTATGTTAGCATTAGAGTTTTGGTTCTATTACATGTGTCATGGTAGAAAAAAAATACCTCCGACTGCTGGGGCACCAAACAAGATGCTTGCACAGTTCATTGGAGCCCATAAATTTGGAAGTGTGTACACTCTCACTAGGACCTCAAAGTGGGGAGTGTCTTTGGTCTTCCCTGTGCCTAGGGGAAAATGGGTAGGAGAGACGGGCATTCAAATAAAAAAATCAAACATAGGCGCAGGGAACAAATACTCAGTAAAAGCTATTTCTGAACAATAAATACTTTATGCACAAAAGGAAAATAACTTGCTTTTCATTTAACAAGTTCAGGAAAAATGAAAACAGTGAGACAGTTTTCAGCGTCTGACATCCATGAAGGAAGGACAGTTCTGCCATTGACCAGCAGTGGGTGCTGGGCCACAGGACAAGCAGCTGCAACGAAAGGCCACCTAAAAAAATATTTTTACCTGTAGTTATATGAAAGCTTTATTTGGTCAAAGTTTAGTCCTCAAAATATAACTTTAACATTTTCTCCTCAATATCGGAATCAAACAGAATATACACTTCATATAAAACTTCATTGGTATAAACATGGAATAAAACATTCAAAATTCCTAGATATGTAAATATCGCTACAAGATCAAAGGGACGTGGCAATGGATCGAATCTGTGTTAAAAAATCATTACGTTTCATATGAAGATATTTTAAAATGAAGATAACAGACATCGGCCCAAATGGTTGTGAGCTTTCAAAGGCTTGTCTGGAGGTGCGGTAGGGTTGTCCACCATTTCTGTGGAAACATTTCAGAAACTGTGCTCAGTCAGTGAAGTCATGGAAAAGACTGGTTTTTTATCTCCAAGTAAATACTGGCTTTTGATCACAAACGGTATTGCTGAGCAGAGCTGGCTGCTTTCCTGAGGGCAACTGACAGCCCTCAGGGCGTCCAGGTCACGGGCATGACCTCAGTCAGGAGCGCTCCTTTTCCCAGTGAGGTCTGGGGGTGCAGCTCCCATTTGGCTGTTTGAAACAGGACTATAACTGACAATTTGAAATTTGTCTTCTACAGTCATACCTATTAGAGATGTGGGTGCGTCTGTTCTTAAAAACCAGTCTTTCCCCTCTTGCCATGTACCTTCTTCACAGCGTCCAGCCCACCAGAAGGATCCAAACACACAAGTAGGTGTGTTTGCATCGCTGAAGTTAAAAACATGAATTTGCCCTTTGAAAGGGTAATTTTAAAGCTTCGTTTAAAAAAATAAAGTCTTTTTAAAATTTTAAAAAGGACGTATTTCTTACACTTGGTCAGAAAATAACTTTACAAAGGCCCTGGACCTGCAATGGGCCTGGTGTGTGCGCGCAAGTGTGCACCTTCTGTTTGTGGAGAGATTTATAAAAATAGGCAGTATTTTTATTTTCTGTCCATAAGTTGAAACATCGAGTAGGGTTGTGGAAGCAAAGGGAGGGATAAATAAAAACACAGAGGAGGGGTGACATATACAATTATCTTATTTTAAAAACGGGAGGGGACTGGTCCCTGCCGCCAGACTGTGGTCAGGACGCTCGGGCTGGGACAGGATGCTACAGGGAAGATGCCCGGCGCTGCAGGGCGGCCCCGCGCTAAAGGGTGACAGCCGGCCCGTGCTCCTCCACGCCGCCCGGGGGCAGCGCCAGGCTGTGGTGGATGTCAGGCGGAAACGAGCTGAGCAGCCTGAGGACGCGGCTATCGCGCCCAGGCCCGTGCAGTCCGGACGCTGGGCCCGCACCATTGACCCGGCTGAGGCTGCCGGGAGGGAGCCGCGGCACCGACCGGGGCTCCAGGTCACCCTCCAGCACCACGTCGGGCTCCTCGTCGCTCTCCATGTCGTCGGCGGGCAGGCTGTGCGGCACAGGGGCCTGCAGGCTGTGGCGGCTGGCCGTGCTGTCCGAGGAGCGGCCGGAGCTGCCGGAGGCGGCACGGCTGCCGCGCAGCACGTTGTTCCGTTGGTTGGCCGGCTTGACCGTGACGATGAGGTTGTGGCTGTTGGCGATCATCATGTCCGTGACCTGGTCCAGCGTCTTCCCCGCCACCTCGATGCCATTCACCTCCAGCACCTCGTCGTCCACGGCCAGAAGCCCGGTGCTCTCGGCCAGGCCCCCCGGCACCATGCGCGAGATGAAGATGCCCGGCACCTTCTCCAGCCCCTGCGGCGCCACCCGCACGCTCATGCCGTCGCGGATGTAGAAGCCCAGAGGTTTCTGGCAGCCGTGCCGGTACAGCCTCACACGCCGGTGCGTCTCGGGCAGAATGTCCACGTCGATGATGGAGGACACGGGGCGGAAGTCGTGCGGGAGCCCGATGTGCAGGTGCGCCCGCCGGCGGGGCCCCTCCTCCCGCAGCGCCAGCGCCTTCCTGCGCCGCGAGAGCGAGCCGGTCGCCAGGCCCTGCTCAGCCTCCTCTGGAAGAGAAGATGAGAGTCAGGACCGAGGACGCCGGTGACAAAGCGCAACAAAACAACGCAGCCACCTGGAGCCCGGGCTGCATCGGTGCATCTCGGCTCTTCCTGCTGCTCACCTTTCAGCCGCTTCTCACACTCCCCACGGGACCCCGGGGGCATCGGAAGAGTGGGCACCACTAACCCCAGCCCCCCAAGTCTCACACACACACACACACACACACACACACACACACACACACACTTCGGAGCTGAACTGTCAGTTCCTTCTGTCACACTTCCCTGTTCTGGAAAGTATCAAATAGCCTCGGGGATGACGTGCGCACAGCCATCCTCGTAGCAGCGGGGCTGGCCCAACATATTCACCAGGCAAATGTTTGAGGCCAGGTTCAAGTTACAGCCACGTCCCTCCAATTGACTTTCTACAAATCTCAAAACGGCCCCACGGCAACCAATGAGACGGTGGAAAGATTACGAGGTACTAACAAGACACTGCGATAAAGAGAATTAACAATAGACGGAAGGGTTAGGAGTGCCTGTCAGGATTCTGGGAAGATGGTGGAGAGGAAGTACCAGGAATTTCTCCCCAGCAGGACAACTGCATGGGCAGCCCCTGTCCGATGTCACCATTTGGGAACTCTGGAGTCTGTATCGAAGGTCTGCAACTTCAAGAAGACGAGTTGGACAGTGATAATGGTCCATTTTGGTAAATTCCATTGACTAACACAGTGAGGCTGCCCATCCCCCGACCCAACTCCCTGGCAGGCAGCTGTGCACGTGGTTTCGTACACAGCAGCTCCTACAGACTGTGGAAGCCAATGTGGTCAAAAAGACTCTGTCTTCCAAATACTGGGAGTCGGTGCTGAGAGAGGATTGCTGCTTCTGGCTAAAGAGATGCAGACAAAGAGGTGGGTAGCCATTGTCGTTGCCCCTCCCCCTCGGTATGAAGCCCCTCCCCCGCTCAAGTGGCTTCTGTGAGATTTAAAGGGAGAATGCCGGGAGCCAGACATTAAAGTCTAGGACATTCAAAAACAACTGGCACCTTGGCCTGGTGGCTCAGTTGGTTGGGGTGTTGTCCAGTGAACCAAAAGGTTGCGGATCCAATTCCTGGTTAAGGCACATACCCAGGTTGCCCATTCGAACCCTGATGGGGGTGAATACGGGAGGCAGCCAATCTCTCTATTTCTTTTTTATTTTTTTTTTATTTTTTTATTTTTTTCGCTAAAAGTATTACAAAGGGTATTACATAAGTGTCCTTTTTCCCCCCCACCCGTGACAAGCCCCTGCCCTCCCTTACCCCCCAGTGTCTTATGTCCATTAGTTATGGTTATATGGATGCATACAAGTCCTTCGGTTGATCTCTTATTCCCCTCCCTCCTGTCCCCCAACCCTTCCTGGCCCTCCCACTGTAGTCCGACAATCGGTTTGGGGCAGCTCTGCCACTGTATTTATTATTGTTCAAAAGTTTGTAATGGTCTTAATTATCCATGAAAGAGTGAGATCATGTGGTATTTTTCCTTCATTGACTGGCTTGTTTCACTTAGCATAATGCTCTCCAGTTCCATCCATGCTGTTGCAAATGGTAAGAGTTCCTTCTTTTTAACAGCAGCATAGTATTCCATCGTGTAGATGTACCACAGTTTTCTAATCCATTCATCTACTGATGGGCACTTAGGCTGTTTCCAGAAAATCTCTCTATTTCTTTCTCTCATTCCTGAGTTTCCCCTCTCTCTAAAATCGATGGAAACATATCTTCAGGTGGGGTTTGTTTGTTTTTTTAAATCACAAAAACAACTGCACATAGAGGAAAATTACAAAGTGGCAACACATCCCCAGAAAAGACCCGAGGAAACATCTCAGGCTCATCCGAGGCACAGAGAGAGCCTATAAAAAAAATTAAAAAATAAATAAAAAGACTAAACCAGCAAACCCTGGGGAAGGGGGAGAATCTGATTTCCAGAGTTAAGTTATTAGATCCAAATGTCCAGTGTTCAAGAAAAAACCCACAAGATATTCAAAGCAATAGGAGAGTATGTTCCATTAAAAAAAAGAAACAAGCCAGGCAAGACCAGAAAGCAAGGTGTAAACAAAATGGAAATATCACTAAATGCTAGAAAACCTAAGAGGAAACCAAATAGAAATTCTGGAGCTGAAAGGTATATATAACTGAAGTACAAAATTCACTAGGGGGATTCAAAGTCAGCTTTGAATAAGCAAAAGAAGAAATCAATGAGCTTAAGATATGACAATATAAATTATTGCTGAGAAACTAAAAGAAAAAAATTAGAGAAAAGTGAATGTATGGTGCCTCAGGGACCTGTGGGACACCACAAAGCACACTGTAAACAATAATAAAAATGGAGTCCCTTTAAAATGGAGCTGGAGCTGCCCTCCCAAAGGAACTGCCTTGCATATCTTATGCCTCAAATCTTTGGATATTAAAGCAGGGCAAAATAACTTTGGACTGGGCCTAAGCAATTTTGAGCCCCCCATTGTTTGCAAAGATAACAAGAAAACAGTTATTATGACTACTAGATTGATGGCTACTAGACTGAAAATTGAAAGCATTATTTAGAATTGGCGTCACTATGTTATGTTATCTGCATCTATAGAAATGCCTTCCTTCTATGGATATAATTGTTCCTCTTCCCTTTCTCATAAATACTCATTGCCTTTGTCTCCTAACCAGAACACTATTTGGGCTTCTACCTGAATCAGTGCTTCCTGAATAGCTATTCTTACTGCTCTCAAATAAACATGTGTTTGCTTCTCATTTTGAAAGGCCTTTTATTTTTAGGCTAACAAAACCAACATGTGCATCATGGGAGTTCCAGAAGAAGAGAAAGGGATGGAGAGAGAATATTTGAAGAGATAATGCCTGAAACTCTCAAATTTGATGAAATGCATGAATATAAACATCCAAGAAGCTCAATGAACTCTATGTAAGATGAAGTCAAGGAGACCCAAACTGAGATACATTACAATGAAAATTTCAAAAAACAAAGAGAAATCTTAAAAGCAAGAGAGAAGAGAGTCATCACATACAAGGGAGCATCAGTAAGATTATCTGCAGATTTTTTAGCAGAAAATTTGGAGAACAGAAGGCGGTGGGCTGATATAGTCAAAGTGCTAAAAGAAAAAGAACTGTTTCCCTAGCCAGTTTGGCTCAGTGAGTAGAGCATCGGTCTGCAGACTGAAGGGCCCCAGGTTCAATTCCAGCTAAGGGCATATGCCTGGGTTGCAGGCTCAATCCCCAGTGTGGGGGGTGCAGGAGGAAAACAATCAATGATTCTCTTTCATCATTGATGTTTCTATCTATCTCTCCCTCTCCCTTCCTCTCTGAAATCAATAAAAATATTTTTTTAAAAAAGAATCCTTTAAAAAAAAAAGAAAGAAAAAGAACTGTCAACCAAGAATCTTACATCCAGCAAAACTGAGAAATCCAGATATTCCCAGATAAAAGCTGAGGAGTTTGTTAGCACTAGATCTATCCTGCAAGAAATGCTCAAGGGTGCCCTAGCCAGGGTGGCTCAGTTGATTGGACATTGTCCTGTGCACCTGGGGTTTGCCAGTTCGATTGTGGTCAGGGTGCATGTCCAGATTGCAGGCTTGACCCCCAGTAGGGGGTATGCAGGAGGCAGCAGATCAATGTTATGCTCTCACTTCGATGTTTCTCTCTCTAAAAATCAATTGAAACTACATAAAAAAATCTTAGACATAGAAGCATCAAACAGACCATCAAACTTCAGAGGGAAGGCAGGAGGGGGGTGGGGGTCAGAGATCAACCAAAGGACTTGTATGCATGCATATAAGCATAACCAATGGACACAGACAGTAGTGGGATGAGGGCCTGTGCTGGGGGGTGGGAGCGGGCTGGAAGAGGTCAATGGGGGAAAAAGGAGACATATGTAATACTTTTAACAATAAAGAATTTAAATTAAAAAAATAAAAACATAAACATCTTTTTAAAAAATGCTCAAGAGAGTTCTGTAGGTCAAATGAAAGAACAACTTGAAGATAGCAACTTGAAGCTGCCTGGGGGAATAAAGATCTCAATAACAGTAAATACGTGTGCAGTTATAAAAGCTACTATTATATTACTGTAACAATGGTTTAGAAATGCACTTTTTGTTTTTCCATGATTTAAGAGACAAATATATTTAAAGGAAAAAATTATTTGTCTAAAAAAAGTATTACTGTTACTTTGGTTTGCAATTTCAAATTCTATTTTCTACATTACTTAAAAGACTAAAGCATTTACAGGAATTATTAATTTATTAGACCCCCAGTGCACGAATTCGTGCACAGGTGGGGTCCCTTGGGGTTGGCCTGCAGGCATCAGGCCAAAACCCGCAGTCCAATGCTGCCTGCTGCTCCTGCCTGCTGCTCCCACTCATCCCGGTCCCGCTGCGCCTGCCTCGGGCTCACTCCCAGTCAGTCCCGATCAGGAGAGGCTCACACCGCCACAGCAGTGCTCTACAGCCATGAGTCCTGCATCTGGCGCCTGTCCCGAGGGGGGGAGGGCGGGAAGCAATCGGCCCACGGGGTGGGCGGTGGGACACCCTTGCCGGTCTGGATCCATCCCGCTGATGTTTGCACCGGTTGTCGGGAGCCACCTGGCAGCCACTTTTATATCGTTTCTTCCTCGTGGAGCGTCTAGGGAGGGGAAGTAGCCACAGTGCCCGAGGCCGACTTACAGGAGGCCAGAGGTGCTGTCAGGATTGTGCCAGCAGCGCAGGTCCATTGGTGCCTGGCCCGTTCTCTAGAGATGGGACCTGCAGGACTACTGAGGGAGTAAGTGGCTGCCACTGGGCTGGTGGGCTGCCAAGACTGGTAGGTCAGCTGAGCAGTGCTCCCGCTGTGGGAATGCACTGACCACTAGGGGGCAGCTCCTGTGTTGATCATCTGCCCCTGGTGGTCAGTGTGTGGCATAGCGACCAGTGTCAACTGGCTGACTGGTCGACCGGTCATTTGGTCGCTTAGGCTTTTATATATATAGATAG